CTTCCCTCCCTCCCTCCCTCTCCCTTCCTCTCTGAAATCAATAAAAATACACTTAAAAATAATAAGTTATATATATATGACAGATTGCTGCTATCTTTGCTCCTGTCTCTGTGTGTGTGGTGCCTCTAGTCCATACGAATATGCTAGGGTTCCACATGAAATTTACAGCAGCTCAGTAAAATAATGCTCAAGAGCCTCGGAAGACGTTTCAGCAACATCAGCCTCTGGCCCAGACTCAGCAGACCGAGTCCCACGTCCCATAAGCACCCGACACCTAACAGAGCAAGAGGAAATGTTAGACCCCCCCACCCCAAACCAGAAGAGGACTGCACTTCCTCACATAAATTATCACTGAACAGGATGCAATGGGGGAGCCCACGCTCTCTCCTTGGTCACAGCAGCCTCCTTCTGGTAAGCACACCACCAGCAAAGGAAGCCCAAAGGCCAGGCAGGCCACTCGCTCAGGGGCCTCAAGTCCCCACACTCGGGCATGCGTATATATCTGACACTCTGAACTGATGGCAGCAGATTCTTCCTCAAAATCAGAGCACATGGGACTGGTGTCTTTTACTATGAAACTCCTGGAGAAAAATGGCCATATACTAGAAATACAGTATCAATACTTCACCAGGCTTAATTTGCATATATTTCTCCCACTTGCCCATATGTTTTTGTGAAACATTTTAAAAGTGCGAGCTTAGCTTCTGCGTTCCATTTGGACTTCTGTTTTTCAAACTGTGGGGCATGACCCACTAGGGAACCATAAATCAATCCAATGGGTTATGACCAGCATAAAATTCTATTTAATGTACTCACTGAAATAGAATTGAATAAAATCATAGGGTAGTGATCTTTTCTTAAACTTTTGTTTTCTGTGTGTGTGTACTGGGTGGCAGTGTAACATGTATTCCTTACTGAGGGTTACGTTCTTGTCACTGCGGACACCCCTCATTTACACCACCACCCCACTGTGTCAGGGCACCACTGGATGGTCCACTGGGCAGCGGAAGCTTCAGCTATTAGCCAACACCTCCTTCATGGATGTGTCACAAAACTGTTTCATCTCCAGGAGAAAATGTGTAAATGTATAAAAGCCTTGATTGGAAGAGGAACACAAAAGCAAGGGATGTTCCGCAGTCTATCTCCTGCATAGTCACGGGACTCCTGATTGCTTGCTACTTTGTCAGCTCTGTTGGAAACAGGAGGAAGCCCACCTCCAGTGCCTGTCCAGAAAAAGGAAGGCTGCAACTTGGTGTCACCATCGTCAGCCAGGGTGGGTAGAAGAGGAGGCTGGTCGCTCAAAGGAGGAGGGGCAGTGACCAGCTCTATGGACCCCCCAGTGGATAGACCTCGCTCTGTCCACCCCTCCTGAGATGCACAGGGGGGCAGTGGTCCTTTGAATCCATTCAAGGAGAGAGGCCTCACCATCTGAGTGTGGCTACCAGTGTGTGCTCTATGATGCCTAATGTTCTCTGATGTCTTATCTCCACGTTATGACTCTCTAACTCACTGTTAATTGGTTTGGGGCCTGGAACTTAGGCCAAAAATCCCCCTAAAGCACTCCATCCAGAATCACAATGGAGTATTCCAGATGAGTAAGTTCCACAAAACTAACTCACTTCATTAAGTATAGAATTTTAAAAAAAAAATCATACCCATTAAGAAAAAGAAAAGAAGCCCTGGAGGTAACTCAGTTGGTTAGAGCATCGTCCCAATACGCCAAGGTTGCAGGTTTGACCCCAGTCAAGGCACATATAAGAAGCAACCAATGAATGCATAAATCAATGGAACAACAAACTGAAATATTTCTTCTCTCGCTCTTGCTGTCACTCTCAAATCAATAAATTAAAAAAAAATTTAACAAAAAAAATAAAGGAAAGATACTCCTATAAAGCAAGCTCGTATCCCAAGCCATACTGCCAGGTAGAGTGCCATGATCTGTCCCACATCTTTGTCACTGCTCCCTGACCCACAGTGGTCTCTGAATCAGGCTCTGCCCCTCCCTTCCCTCCCACTCACCACATGGGTCATGCTCATTCTCATCTCCAAGCTTGCTGTTCCCCCACATATATCTGGATACCCCTCCACCTATCAAATCCACCAAACCCTTGGAGGGCCACCTCAAGGATCTCCTCCTCCACGAAGTTCCCATGCCCCCCTCTTTTGGCCAGTCCTCCACAATCCCCCTCTCCCGTGAGGTCTCTCAGTGTCATGGGTATCATACAACTTAATGTTTTATTACGTTTTGTTTGCTGTTTCATTCATAAGTCTTATCTCTCCAACTGGTTTCTAAGAACTTTAGGACAAAGATATCATTTACATCTTGGGGAGCATCCCAAAACCTACTGCAGATGGGTCTTGTGAACCATGAAACACAACCATGAAGCAACATCAGCCTATGGCCCAGACTCAGCAGACCGAGTCCCGGGTCCCATAAGCACCCCACACCAGAGGAGCAAGTTCCATGAAGCAGTGAATCGTTCCTTGTTTGTGTGGCAGCATCCTGTCCTCCCTCTGTCTTCAGACAGGAAACAGCGTGTACCTTTCTTTTAAAAAGTCTTCGAACTCTTTGCAATTCTTGCGACCGTTGTTCAGATGATGGATGATGCTGTCGTAGCCAATGGTGCTGAGGATGTCCGGACTCTGGTGAAAAAGAAACAGCCCTTGTCAGACCAGGAACAGCACAGATGGAAGCCCCGAGGCCTGAAGAGATGGGGGAAGCCCACAATGGGAAGTTGCTGAAACGCGTTACCTCCAAGACATATGTGACTAAAATAGAAGAAGTAAGAATGCATGTAGCTGTGGAAGAATTTTTAAAATTATGAAACTGAAGGGGCCACAAAACAGGAAGGAAGTGACTGAGGACTGCGAGGCACATGGATGAGGGAACTGGCGGAGCCCCGGGCTGCTACCAGCGTCCTAAATCAGGCCAGGACTGGGAGCAGGAGAGCCTGACCCTAACATCTTTTCTCATAAAACCAATGAGCCCTGCTGAGGGTCAAGGGTATTGCTGCAAAGGGCAAGCAGCCCTGAGCCAGGAGCCAGGTCCAGGAATGAAAGAGAAGATCTGGCTTCTCAGTGGGAAGCATGGAGGGAAGCCGGCATTCAGCATGCTCCATGGTCCCAGTTTGGGGGCAGCACCCAGCTTCTGAGTTCGCTGTTTGGTGAGTAGTCTTGCTGTCCCAGCTCCACTACAAGTGCCTGTGGCTTCTTCGACATCTTCAACCACTCCTACACACACACACACACACACACATGCACACACAAATCCAGCTTAAATACAGTAAAATTCTGTAGGATGAAGCCACCTATTGTGTTCCCAGCCAGATGCATTAGACAAGAACAATGAAAACCAAGACTCCTGAGTGAATGAATAGGTACTAATACTCAATATCAATGTTGGTTTTGTAGACAGAGGGTTTTCTGTTTCATGCTACTCATTTGGAAAAGGTGGTTTCCTTGTTTTAAATTAAGGGTGTGTAGACTCTCTGATCTGGACAGGGAGGGTGGAGCCAGACCAGGGTTTCCGACAAACAAACCAAGTTACCAGGCCTTCTGGGCACCAGCCTGAAAAAAAACTAGAATTGCTGCTTTGGAGGACTGACTGGGCTACAGAGGCAATCAAGAAAGGAAATCCCCAACAGAAAACCAAGAGTGCCTAAGGCCAATTTCAAAACTGTGCAGGATACAGCCTGGAAACTCCTTCCTATGTTACTCAGAGAGCACGGGCCAAGTAGGAAAAAGTACTTCATGAGCACCAAGATAGCATTACAGATCTGCCATCAGAAGTGAGTGTGCCAAACCCATAACCCCAGTACCCTCGGCTTGGTAATCAGAGCCCTCTATGCACTATATCTTACTTCTCTTCCCCAGTTTTCCCCACACTGGTCTCTTTCCTGTCTTCCAAATGGGCAGCGTCCATTTCCACCCCAGGACTTTTGCACATGCTTTTCCCCCACAGTGGCAATGGCGTCTCCTCCTCTTCACTTAAATCAGCGGTTCTCAACCTGTTGGTCTCGACCCCTTTGGCAGGGGTCGCCTAAGACCATCCTGCATATCAGATATTTACATTACGATTCATAACAGTAGCAACATTACAGTTATGAAGTAGCAACGAAAATAATTTTATGGTTGGGTCACAACATGAGGAACTGTATTTAAAGGGCCAGAAGGTTGAGAACCACTGACTTAAACCCAACCTCTGCTTCAGAGCTAGTTCAAATCCCATTTCCTCTCTGAAGTCATCCTCAACTAATTTGCCCTATGGTCTCCTCTCCTTCTTCTGAATGCCTCGAGTGTTTGATGCCTAGTCATCTCATTTGGCTCTAATTCAAACCACCTGACTTCAAAATGTTCTATGAAATTACAGTAATCAAAACAGCCTGGTAGTGATATGAGAATAGACCAGTAGATCAATGGAACAGAATGGAATCAAGAAACCCACCTATCAATTGACTTTCAACAAAGGTGCCAAAGCTATTCAGTGAGGAAATTAGTCTTTTCAGCAAATGGCCCTGGGACAACTGTGTAAACCTCTGGGAGCAGAGAGCCTCTACTCATTCCTCAAACTTGACATAAAATTAATTTGAGATGGATCATAGATTCAAATATAAAATATATATATAACTAAATTATAAAGTTTTCAGAAGAACCAGTAGGAAAATACCTTTGAGAATTGGAAGTATTTCTTAAAGAAGACACAAAAATTATGAACTCCAACAGAAAAAAACTGAAAAATTGGACTTCATCAAAATTAAAAACCTCTGCTCATCAGAGAAATTATTAAGAAAATCAAATGGCAAGCCACCAAGTGGGAGAAAATATTCACAATACATATATCGGTCAAAAGACTTGTATCCAGAATATTTAAACAATCCAACAAAATAATAATAATAATATAAGGAACCCAATAAAAACTGAGCATAATACTTGAACTTCACAAACACTTCATAAAAAGATACTTCCTATAAGATATTCCTTTGGCCAAAAAGTTCATGAAAAGTTGTTCAACATCACAGGGAAACTCAAGTAAAGTCACAATGATATCTACTTCATGCCTACTAGGACAGCTAAAATTAAAGTCAGTATTGAACGTAGGCAAGGAGATTGAATTATCATAACTCTCATGCATTGCTGATGGAAGTGTAAAAAAGGTATGATCATTTTGGAAGATGGTTTCTCAAAAAGCTAAACATACACATCCCTATGCCCCAAAATTCTGCTTATAAGTATTAGGATGAACTACCCCTAATCTCTCCTGCTTGGGCATGTAATATATATTGTTATAAACTTTTTCCCATAGCTCGGGGCAGATGGCAGTGCCAGATGGCGGCCCCTGTGGAAGCAAGATAAGATGAACTCCTCTTCGCCCGACTGACCTGTGCACTCTCCTCCCCTGACTCGCTTGAGTGACTCATGCCCTCCCCTCTCCTTGGCCAACTTGCACCCACATCCTGACCCTATATAAGAGAACCTAGCCATCCCCTTGGGCTGACACCCACACACTGGTATCACCCTGGGGTGAGAGAAGGTAATAAAATTTCTTAAGCTCTCAAAACGTCTCTTGGCCTGGTTTCTTCCAGCGGGGACCCAACAATAAGCATTTACCCAGTGAAATGAAAACATACATCCACAAAAAAGTCTTTCACAAGAAAGTTCTGAGGAGTTTCATTCACAATAGCCCCAAACTGGAAACAACCCAAATGTCTAACAATTTACGAATGATAAACAATTTGTGGTTTATTTATACAATGGAATACTACTCAGCAATAAAAAGGAAAGAACTACTGACATGAAATAACATGAATGAAGCACAAAAACATTATGCTAGTGAAAGATACTAGACACAAAAAGTATTTACTGTATGATCCCATTTATATGAAATTGTAGGACAGGCAAGCAGTTGTAGGGTTTATTTCTATGGAAAAACAAATAAGAACACTGATTGGCTGAGTCAGGAAGGGTGGACTGGGAAGGGTCATTTGGGAAATTCCTGGAATTGGAAATGGATACATGTATGTGACCCACATTCCTATCAAGATCTTTCTATAGAGGTGTGGACTGTACACGTATATGCAGTTTTAAAAACACATTGATCTGTGTGTTTCATCTTACATAAATTAGACCTCAAAAATTAAAAGGAAAAAAAGAAGCTGATAGGATGGAGAGGCATAATGGTAGGGAGGCTGTTACTGGAAGGAATAAGAGAGGCTCAGCCTTAGAAATGGACCTAGTCTTGGAGTCCTGGGTGAGGCAGGAGATGAGCAAGAAGGGGTGAGCAGATCCAAGCACCCAGCAAACCTCCTAAGACCCAGAACGTAAGGTTTAATAACGCTCAAGTTATAAAGAAGTAAATAGTACTTAAGTTTTAATCAAGGGATTTGTACTTTAACCAAAATGCCACTTAAGTATTTTCTTTTAAGACAAAAAATTCAGCAGATCCAGCAGTGAGCACATCTGTGCCACATCCAGCAGATGTATGAGCCAAAGAATAATAAAAAACAGACTTGTCGTGAGCATGCCAGCGGGCAGTCCAAAGCAGGTGGGGTGTGGGTTCAGAAAAGGAGGAAGTCTAAGTGGACTGCCCGTCAGCTCTAATGCTCAAGGCTGGTTTCACTCACGCAGTCAAATCCCATGAACCCCTCCTTCATGGCCAGCCTTAAAGCCTGAGCCCCCTGCTGCAGAGGCCTCTGAACACTTGTTTCCGGGCTCCTTTTCCACGGGCCTCCGGGCAGAAGGTGCAGAAGCAAAGGGGAAGGAAAGAGTGCCCACAACCTCCAAAGCCTCCATCAGAACTGCAAGTGCTGCCTCAGAGCATGCCCACATCTGGTTCTGTGCCGCCTCTCAGGGCCATGCCATCACTATGTCTGTTACACACAATTTCTCCAGATGTGGGCTCCAAGGACCAGAATCAGCTTGGTAAACATGCAGACCCTCTACGTCCCACCCAGACCTGCTGATTCTGAACCTGGGGAGGGGAAATAGCCATTTTTTTTACAGTCCCCCCAAGTGACTGTAACACCATTTGAGAAATGCTGCCACAGAAATTACAAAAGACCAAAGAGCAATCGTGGTTCCTGCCCAGAGGAGGAGCTGGCTACACGAAGAAAGCAGGGTACATGCACATGCAACCACGGAACACAGCAGAAGGGAGCCGAGAGAATGACTGTTAGGAAAGGGCAAAGGGAGAGGAGGCCAGAGAAGACTCCATGGTTTGCATTTCATTTTAAAGCCCCCAATTCTGAGTTTAAAAATGCAAATTGGCATTGATGCCTTTTGGAAGCACAGAGCCCCACGAGTGGAGAGGAGGCCACTGACTTTGCATTTCATACTAAGGCTGCACTTGTTTGACCCCTGGGCATATGATGCATAAGTGTGTGGCATGTTGCATTAAAGGACCACAGCATGTTCCAAAAACAGTCAGACAGGAATGATTTCCAGGTTTTACAGCTGAAGAAAATAAGACTCTAGGAAGAGAAGTTCTCCTTATCACTGCCTCCACCCACAAAGAAAGAGCTTAAACCTCAACCAACAATACTATCCAAATCTATTATTTATCAAATGCTGTATGGCAACAATAGACTTGGGATAAAGACTGAGGACTTCACTTACCTCACTATGCTCCTAACCTTAATCTTTCTTTCTTATTCACTTTCCTACCTCTTTCACCCAAAGACACAAAACCAAATAGATCAAACTCCCCTAATCCACAAATATGAACTAATTATTATTAATTGATACTAGCAATTAGGTCTAATATACACTGAATACTTCCTGCATTCCAAACAGCATATCA